GGGAAGCAGGAGAGACAGGAGGAGGAGCAAGCGACGAAAGAGGAGGAGGAGGAGGAGGAGGAGGAGTCAAGCGGGTCAGACCTGGACATCGGGTCGTCAGAGGACGAGGCGGCGCCAGAAGCGGAGGCACCAGCCGTGGACGCGGGGGTGTCGCTTGCAGAGAAGTTCAAGGTCAAGCCAGGGCAGTGGCGGTGCGCGACGTGCAAGGTGATGAACGAGAAGGACATAGAGAAGTGCATCTGCTGCGAGACGCCCAACCCGCAGGCAGCGCCGGCGGTGAGCGGGGCCGGAAGCTCATGGGCCGGGGGAGGAGGGTTCGGGGGAGGGGGAGGGGGGATCCAGTTCGGGTTCGGGGGAGGCGGGGGAGGCTTCACCTTCGGGACGGGAGGGACGGCCGGGGGAGGCGGGGGAGGAGCGTTCACCTTCGGGACGGGAGGCGCGGCCGGGGGAGGCGGGAGCGGTGCTTTTGTTTTTGGTGCCTCGCAGATTTCTTCCTCAAACTCGTCTAGTGTCTTTTCTTCTCAGTCCTCTTCTTCCTTCTCGAATGCATCAGGTGGTGGGAGTGTTTTTAGTTTTGGTATGATGAGTCAGGGAACTAGCAACGCGTCGGAAGCGTTCAAATTTGGTGCTGGAAACTTGACTGCGTTTGGAGGCGGGCCTTCGAACGGAGTTTCTTTTGGTAGTGCGAGTGGAGGAGGATTTTCGTTCTCTTCTGGCACGGGAGGGTTCAGTCTCGGCAGTGGAGCAGCTGAACAACAAAAGCCCTTCGGAGGCGGGAGCACATAGCGCCTGGGTTTGATTGGCAGTTACAGGTAGCTCTTCTGTTGTATGTGCAACAATTTGTTCTCTTGCTGAAGTTGTCGCAGGTTTACTCATGTCATTCAAAGAATTCAATCTCAACCTCCCGATCGGCCATCCTGCAGCGACGTCGACCTGATCGCCGTCACTTGGCAAGGCTCTCCATAAGGCTCACTGCGTCGCTGTAATATCCACCACCAAAGAGATTGTAGTGATTGAGCTTGTGATAGAGTTCATAGAGAACCTGCTGGCTTGTCAACCCTATCACAGTGTCTCCTCTGGCCGTCACAGTTTACCCTCCTTTCCCGGAATCCAGGGTCCTCAGGAATGAGCTCTCTGTATCCCTTCCAGAAGTTGGAGCCGAAGGAGGCGCACCTGCAGCACCGTTATGCCAACCTCCCCGTAGCTCCAGCCGACCAGCTCATCCCCCACTCGGCTTCATGGTGACCGTAGTACACCGCCGGGTCATAGATGCACGGCCGTCCGTTGGATCCTTGCAGGCTGTCAGCTACATCCAGCACCCGACTGCTTCTCACCTCCATAGTTCCCTGACCAAAGATCCCCATGAAGCACCTGAACAGCTCAAGTCAGGCCCGGGACTAGCTGCCGGACTGGCGGATTACACTCGGCTTCACTTGGATGCCTTCGAACAAGGTCTGCAGGCCATTCGTCTTGTCGCAGACCTGGCCTTCCCTCTCAGCTCCTCTTGCCCCTTCACTCCCTCACACGTCTCGCTACCTTGTCCCAAATCCTTTCCAGCTGCCCGTCGCCGGCTAGGTTCACCTGCGAGGCCAGCATCACCTACTGAAGAGCAGGAGCAGGAGAACGACGATGAGGATGAGGAGCAGGAGCAGGAGCAAGGGCAGGGACAGCAGCAAAGGGCAGGGGGAGGAGGCAGGGGCAGGGGCAAGGGGCAGGGGCAAGGGGCAGGGGCAAGGGGCAGGAGGCAGGATACTGTCGCAGAGGCTACCTGGTGGCCGATTCTCTGCTCACGGAAGAACCGAACCCAGTCCTTGTCCCACCTTGTCAAGACGTCAAACCCTGAAGGTGACGTGGCCGGAAGTCACTTGTTGGGCTGGGGGGTCCCTCCGATCGTGTTGTCGACGTCGAACCCGAAGTTTCCCTCCTTCGCCTCCTTCGCGAGCGGCTCAGCCAGGTGCATCTTCGCCATGGCCTTGCAAGCAAAGTCAGACAAGAACCGACGTGGCGTGTTTGCCCAACCTTGCCGAAGTCGTACTGGTCGTAGGGCGAGCCCAGCGACAAGTATTCCATGATGATGAAGCTTCCTCCGTGCCCGTCGTCCCCGTAATGAAACACCTGCCCCCCGCACCTCAACAGGACCCAGAGTTCCCCCTCGTCCTCCGTCTACCTTGGGCACTCCGACTGCCTCCGCATGATACATCGCGTTCAGCCCTAGAGCCTCGCCCTTGAATATCTGACAAGTACGATGGGGGTCAGCGAACAGGGTTCTTGAACGAGAGTGAAGCAGGCAGAGAACCTTCTCAGCGCTTTGCCGAGCTGTCTTGACGAAGAAATCCTTCCCGTCCTCAGTTTTGTACCTTTGCCACGAGTCACTCGACCAGCAGGCAAGATCACTGCCGTGTGCAATCTTCTTACACATACTGACGGCTCCACCCGCTTCCACCGAGGGACGAGAACGTCGCCACCTTCATGCCTTGCGAGCCCATCCATTCCCTCACAGCATCCGCCATCTTCAGCCCGCACCTTCCTCCTCCTCTCAGCTTCCTCGCCGGCCCCAACCCCTTCAGCCCTCCTACTGCACAGAAGCCGAGCAGCCCTCTCGGTCCTCTTCCTCCTGAGAACCTTGAGATGCCTCGAGGCTCAAGGGATTCAGGTCCTCCTCCTGCTCCTCCTCCTGCTCCTCCTTCGACCCTTCCTGCCGCAAGTGCCAGGGCGATCAACAAAGCAGATCCTCGCATGTGGTACCCCTACCAAGCACACCCCACCCCCCGTTTTGAGACCCTCTCTGATAGCAGCCACCCCTCCATTCCAACCTGGTGTCTCCATGAACCTACATGAAAATACCTTCAAGACACCCTCACTTTGAGCCACCATATCACCCCCACCCCCTGAGACTCATCGTACCCCACCCCCAATGTTGTTTCCCTTGAGATTCGCGAAGGGGAAAAATCAGGACCGGGAAGGAATATCAGAGCAAGGTGACGGGCAGGAGAGCAGAGCAGAGCAGAGCAGAGCAGAGCAGAGCAGAGCAGAGCAGAGCAGAGCAGAGCAGAGCAGAGCAGAGCAGAGCAGAGCAGAGCAGAGCAGAGCAGAGCAGAGCAGAGAAGGGAAGGGAGGGAAGGGAAGAGCAGCACGGAGAAAAACAGAGCAGAGAAGCACAGAGCAGAGCAAGTTCAGAGCCGAGTGAAAGCAGAGCTGGAGGCATTCAGACACTGCGGGGACAACAGGAGGAGATGCGAACTGCAACCATCATCAGACAAGAACGACTGCCATGAGCACTGAATACGCGAGGGAGGATCCCAAGGGGTACCGAGAGACCGGCCGAGGGCGGGACATGAGCCAGAGGATAGAGGTAGGAAGACTCAAGGAGTTTTCCAATGGGGCGCCCAACGAGCTCGATGGCGAAGGGATCCCCGAGTGGGTCTTCGCCATGGTCTGGTGGCCCGTGTCCTTCATGGGGTACATGCTGCGCCTCATTGGAAGGTTCTCGAAGCTCGCCTTTCTCTTCTCCGTCTCTGCCGCCACCTACTACTGGCTGTACGGAGCGATAGTCCCCCCCTCCCTCTCTGAATCCCACCCCATCAACTTCCTGTACCCTCTCGACTCCAAACAGCGCAAGGGAGGTGTTCCCACCAACGCTACGGTCGACTTCGCCTTCTACCGCCAGGTTCGCATGCCATGTGGACGCAGCCGGCACCCCTGACCCAACACCTTCCTTGCAGCTCATGGTGCGCTCAGGAACTCGAGGCATGGACTGGTCCTCCAGCATGTCTCCGGGCTCTAGCCTCGACATCGGCATCACGCTGGTGCTCCCAGAGTCTCCTGCCAACGTCGGAGTCGGGCCCTTCATGGTGAAGGTGGTAGTGTTCGACAAGCAGGGCAACGTCGTTGGGGAGGGTTCGCGGTCGATGATCCTGAGGCATAAGAGCTCCCTGCTGCAGACCATGTCCACCGTCTTCTACTCCATCCCCCTCGTCCTGGGGTTCACGTCAGAGCACCAGGCTATCCGGGGAACGGTGGTTCAGCTCATCTCGTTCCCCAAGGGAGGGCTGCAGCGGGCGACGGTCAGCATCTCCGACTCGAGGCTGCAAGTCTACAGCGCCTCCATCGACATCTCCTTTGTGCTGACAGGGTTCCGATACTACCTCTACCACTGGTTCGTCACCTCCATGGTAATAGGGACCATTGTCATCAGCAACCTGTACGTCAGCCTCATCAGCTGGATGTCAAGGAAGCTCTTCGGGGCGAGCTGGAGTGTGGAGGAAGACTTCTCCATGTCTCGCTATCCTCCGCAGTACCAAGGTGATCCCTCAGCAAACGCAAGGCGCAGGAGACAGCGGCGGTCGAACATGAGCAAGCCCAGGAGCAGGAGTGAGGACCTGAAAGGGGAGGCCTTGCCCGGCGGCGCAGATTCTCCAGATGGGCCGTTCAATTCCAGGAGTGACGAGAGCTCGGACGAGAAGGAGGAGAGCGAGAGGTTTGCGAACGTGTCGGATGAGACCGACGACAACGATCTGAACAACCTCCGACAGTGGGAAAGGTGAGCTCCCCCCTCTCTCCTCCCGCGCTAGGTTGCTCTGCGCAGGCTCTGATGCTTGCCTGATAGGGCTGCCATCAACAACCTGCCGAAGGCTGAAGACGAGGTATTGAAGAGTGTATTTCTATCACTGAGGGGATTCGCTGAATTTTCTCTGCAGATGGAGGAAGTGAATGACATACAAGTCGGTGCGATGGAAAACTTCCAGACGCTGGAGTCCTCTACCTCCGAGAACACCGTTGCTCCTTCAGCCTTGCGCAATGCTGCACTGCAGGGGGTCCGAAGGAGGAATCAAAGTGTCCCTGGTCCAGCGTCTGCCCGTGACTAACAGTGGAAACACCCCCTCATGTACATTCATCCCAGGATTGAGAATAAAACTCCCTTCACAGCTCATTGCACGTCTCTGCTTGTCATCTGACGTAATTTCTCGTCGACAACTCGTCGTCTCATTGTTACCTCCTCCTTTCTGTGCCCGCCGCCGAAGCCGCCGCAGTCGGCGCCATTGAAGACAGCAACGGATCCCCGTTACGGACCGTTTTAAACATGAATTGACTCAATGGGGTCCCTGAGTTTGAAAAGAGAGTGGCGGGGTCATGCAGGACGGTGTGGGGTACGATAAGGATGGGGTACTTATACAGGGGGTGAGGGTACATATGTAGGGGTACTTTGAAGGAGAAATGTACGGGTACTTTTCCTTCAATGCTATGGGGGACAACGTACTTGAGGTCCTTGGGGTGGATGATGGGGAGAGTGGTGGGGTACGGGGGACGCTGGGGTTCAGTGCAAATGTTGAACGGGGATTTGAAGAAGGGAGGAGGGAAAGGAGGAGAGTACGACTGGAGGGTCAGTGAGCGACAGAGGAAGGAGAGGGAAGGAGAGGGAGATGGGGAAGCTCTGGAGAGACTGGTAGGAGCAGAAGGGGTATGAAGAGACAATCTTGTCTCCATGAGGGTCTGACGTGTACCCAACTACGAGATGAAGGCTGGGAGAGGGAGAGGGAGAGGGAGAGGGAGAGGGAGAGGGAGAGGGAGAAGTAATGAATCCAGGCTGTTGCACTCAGGAAGTCTTGATTGACCTAGCAATACTGAACGATCTGCGCAATTCTGACTGAAGCTTTCAGGTGAATGGAAAGATTGACAGGCCCACGAACAAACCACGAGAAAGTTTCGATGATGGACCTCGCAAGGAGCGAGAAAGCGAGGGCATCCTTTTTGAAGAACCACATCCTGTCGGATGAACGGTAAGTCGATCGGCTGCCATGTCACGTGTCCTCACACTCCCTCCCTCGCTTCCGCCTCTCCGTCATAGGTATGTTTCTTCGGCACCCAAGTATTCCATGGCGTTACAGCATGCCTACATCAACGCTGGCGACAGGAGGGCAGAGAGCAGCATCCTCCCCATGAGCGCAGGAGTCTCGACGCACAGCTCGACGATGCTGAGCCCTTCCAAGAAGAGGACAAAGCACCAGCGCCTCAACGTCGGGGTTGGGGAGCTGCATAGTCTTCACCTCCTGTCGCCGGCCAGCCAGGGGACCTTGTACTGGACGATCCTGATAGAGGTCGGGCTGGTGAGCGATGGCGAGAGAGGCAGGCACTTCAAGTCTTCGCTGCGAACGAGTGCGTGACCGACTGCCTGTCCGCAAGAGGGGAAGGGGAGGAGTGAGACCTGTGGCAGGGACGGCCGCGCTGACGAACAAGCGGAGCCAAGACGCGCTCGAGTGGAATGAGGAGTTTCTGATTGGCGTTGGGTCCAAGGCAGCCAAGAATGCCTTCCTCCGCCTGTGTGTGGAGGCGTACACGACGCCGACGGAGCAGAGCGGAGAAGAGAGGGAGGCTGTGGTGGGGACTGTGATGGTTCAGGCCTACACCATGCTCATTCCTCTCGCGCTCCTCCACCAGCATGGCAACTCACATCAGAACCAGAACCTCGTCTCAGGATGGTTCGACGTGTCCGAGGGAAGGTTCACGCTGAGAGAGATCAAACCTGCTGACCTCCAAAACCTTCATCATCACTCTTCTTCCCCCCAGGTGAACCCCAGCAGCACATAGCTCATCCTCCTCCCCAACTCCCTTTGTCTTCTCCTCTCCTTGCATCGTTCGTCTATCGTCCCACCGTCTCTTGCGTCCCTCTCCTCCTTCCCTCTCTTCTCTCCCTCTCTTCCCCCTCTGTCTGCTCAATCACTCGCTCGCTGCAGGTCTACATTGAAATGAGCTTCGACTCCTCTGCCTCCCAGGAAACCTCCCAAGACCTCAGCATGCGAAAGTCCGACATGCCCTCCACTTCGTCTATCTGCCGCACCCCCTCCAAGCTTGATCAAGGCAAACCCTTCACTGCTCCTTCTGCTTTCTCTACTTCCTGACCCGCTGCCCTTCCAGGTCCTCCTCCCTCCCTCCTCCAAGGCCCACAATCTCTCGCCGCTCTCACTCCTCGAGGAACTATCCGCTACGACACTTACATCGACCCCGCTGGCGCCACTGGCGGATCTCCATCCCGGCCGCTGCATCAGCAGGCAGACAAGCTCCACGTCGATCGACCTCGAGCACAACGGAAAGTCTTCGGAGAGGCTCCTCTGCCACCCAGGAAGCCGATAACGACCGAGAGGAGGTGGCAAGGAGGAGGAGGAGGAGGAGGAAACTCTTGGTCGGGACTTCCCGACTATCCTCCCGCCAAGTTCTCCTTCACCTCCCCTGTCGAGGCCAACCTGAGCTCCTCCTTCAGCAACGTCATCAACGTCTTCGACGAGCAGCACTCGAGCCCGCCCTTCAGCATGCGGCTCAACGATTCCTCCGCCTTCTCCTTTGCTGCCAACGACCTGCGGGTGGGAACGAGACCGTCGGAGCCGCGAGTCGTCTACAACCATCGCGTCATGCAGGGCGATGAGGAGCAACCACAGCGTGCGCGGGACTCGTGGAAGGTCTTCTCCCCTGAACGCCTCCAGCAGCAGCCGGCTCGGGATAGGCAAGTGGGGGAGAGGCTGGAGCTGCATGGAGCGAAGCTGGGGCAGGAGGAGCAGCATCGGATGAACCATGAGGAGGAGGAGCTTGCGTCGGTCAGCGCAAGCTCAATCTCTCCGAGCAAGAGCACGGTCAGTGAGTCGTTCCTTGCTCACATGAACGTGATCGAGACGATCATGAGCAAGTACAACCTCCAGGCCGTCCCCTCCTCCTCCCCGGGAGAACAACCGAGCGAGGGAGCAAGAGAACAGGGGAGGGACGTGTTGATCCCCCTGCAAGCGCGACGAGACGACGAATTGCAGGAGATGCGGGCAAAGGAGAGGACGAGGCTGGTGGACCGAGAGATCCAGACGAGCGAGGAGAGGAGGGAGGAAGAAGCGAAAGAGCATCTTCAGAGCTCACTCTCATCATCATCAGGAGGAGGAGGAGGGAATTCTCAGATCGAATCCTTGAACGAGAGCCTCCTCGTCGCTCTCCAACAGTCGTCGGTGCCTCCTCTCCCCCCCTTCCTCCCTGCCACGTCGTCACTGACTCCTTGAACAGGAGACGCAAGTCCTACAGTCTCTCCTTGACACCCTCAAGAAGTTCTCCAGCTCCTCAGGTTCGCTCCTTCAACTACCGTTAGTGCCCTCAAGTTGATGGCAGGGAGAATGATCGCCAACGCCTCGGACGAGAACAGGAGGGAGGCGAACAGGTAAGAGCAGGAGGGAGAAGGGAGTCGAGAGGAAGAACAGAAAAGAGATGGAAGCTATGGAGGGGAGAGAGGGAGGAGACGAGGAGGGAGGAGGGAAGAAGAGGAAAACTGTGATGATGATTTTATCTGCAGAGCCTCCTCCGTGTGCGAGGACCTGATGGATTCGATCTCGACGACGCTCAAGAAATATGAGGATGACAAGGACAAGACGTCAGGGTCGCTGGACGTCAGCAGAGAGCAAACGATTCCAGCGAAAGAATCATGGTACAGCTCTACCTCGCCACCCTTCTTCATGCTCCTCCCCCTGCCCCTCCCCCTCACTTCCTTCCTCCTCCTCCTCCTCCTCCTCCTCGTACTCTCCTCTCTCTCTCCTTGTCGTGGTCGTACGCCCCTCTATCTCTCCTCCCCCTCCCTTCTGCTGACAATCCACATAAAGGTCGCAATCAGCGAGCGGAGATCATGAGGAGGAGAAGGAGACCGAAGTCCCAGCCCCTCCCTCGTCCTCCCACCTGAAGCAAGCAAGGGAGGAACCCGATCCGCAGCCTCTGAGCGGCAAGCAGCAGGAAAGCTCCTTGGTGGAACAGAGAGTTCAGTCCTTGGAGAACGCAGTGAGATCGACGGCAGGGGAGACGCGACCAGTCGCAAAGGACGAGCAGAGCTCGCAGCTGGCGCGAGATCGGAGCTCTCCCGTGAAGCCAGCGGGAGAGGAAAGGACTGAGGTCAAGGGACCTTTGGGTCGTGTCCCTTCCGCAACCTCTGGGAAGGGCAGCGAAGACAAGTCGGGGATGCAGCAGGAGCAGCAGCAGGACAGGAAGCACGCAGAGGAGAGGAGGCAGGGAGAGGCACGGAAGGAGGCGGAGACGGAGCCCTCCTCGTCCTTCCCCCACCAGGAGCATGCAAGACCCCCGTCGTCCTCGGGCTCGGACAAGATCATTCACGGGAACATTCATAAGGAGAGCTGGCCAAGAGGAGGAGAGAAGGCTGCGGGGACGGGGCAGCTGGGCAAGGAGCTGGAGAGGCAGATGGACGAGGTAGAAGACTTCTTCCTCCGCTACGGGATCAAACTCCCCCTGCTGTCCATCGCCCAGAGGAACGGGGCCGGCGGGCCCCCACTGACCAACTTGAGCCTCGCAGGAGCAGAGGAGAGGAGGGGCAGTCAGGCTAGCGACTCCTCCGACTACCTCACAGACTCCGCGCGCATCCGCCATGGCGTCGTCAAGGTCTACGAGTTCTCGAATGAGCCTCCAACCCATCCCCATGAAGCCCCGCCCGCAGCTCCTGCCTCCCATTCCTCTGCTCCTTCTCAGAACTCCTGGAAGATGGGAGGAGAGGGGAAGGAGGCGGTCGGGCAGGAGGAGGCCGAGAGGAACAGGGCCATGTGGGGAGGAGGCCGATCAGCGTCCGAGGAGGGAAAGCCTCGCTCTCCCTCGACGCCGCAGAGGTCGGCCAGCAGCACGATGCCCAAGGTCCTCCACTCCCCAGCCAGGATCCTCGCGCTTGGGAACAAGGAAGAGGAGAGGAGGAGGGAGGAAGAGAGGAGGAAAGAAGAGGAAAGGAGGAGGGAGGACGAGAGGAGGAGGGAGAACGAGAGGAGGGAGGATGCACTCAAAAAGCACTCTCAGTCCCCTCAAGTCTCGCAAGCTCCGCCTGACGCAAGGGCAGTGGAACCGATGGCCTCGAACGTACCAGCAGCTGGGAAGCAGCTGGATAAGGAGGAAAGTCAGGTGAAGCTCAAGCTTTCAACAGCGCTTGCGGGGATGGAGTTGGGAGCAGGAGAAGATGAGATGAAATCGAACTTGTCCAACAATTTCGCGGGGGTGGGGATGGTGATCAAGCGGCAGAGCGAGGGAGGAGCTGTCTACGTCGCTCAGATTGTTCCTGGTGCCTCCCATCCCTCCTCCTTGCCATCACCATCACCTTGTTCTCCTTCTTCTTCCTCTGCCTCTTCTACCTCCAACCAACTGACTGACATCCCAGGTGGTTCTGCTCACTTCGACGGACGGATAAGAACATCAGACAGGTGAGAGACTGACGGGATCGGAGGAGGAAGAAGAGGAAGCGAGAAGAAAGAGGAAGAAGAAGTGGAGGGGAGCAGAGAGAGGAGGAAGATGAAGATGTATGACGAGGAGGCTGCAGGTTGATCTCAGTGGACAACCAGGACGTGGCAGGGCTCGACATGCATAGCATCTCCAACCTCATCGGAGGCAGGGAGGGGACAACGGTCCGGCTCGAGCTTGAGAGGACCGAGGAGGAGCAGGACGGCGAAACGAGCTACGAGTCGTCCCCCAGCAAGAGTTCTCCTGGGCTCACCTTGGCGGAAGGACTGTCCGGGTGAGCAGGAGGGAGGAGAGCGGGAAGGGGGAGAGGGGGAGGAGGGGCTTTGTGGATGTGACCAGGACCTGATCGTGACTGCAGTATCGTGGAGATCGGAGGGATGCTGTTCCCCAACCTGCGATCCAGCAGGGGACTGAGGACGAACCGAGTCCGGTTCGATGTGGAGCTTCCACGGCAAAAGCTGGTGGACATAGAGGAGAATCTGCTGATATCCTTGTGACGACTTCAATGCACTTTACACGAAACCCAGCGAACAGAGGAGGGACTTCATGAAGGGATCGTTGGGGCCGCAGACACTGAGCAGCTGCAGCTGATACTTGAAGCCCGAGTGGGCAGGGAACGGGGGGTGAGGATTGTCGCCGAACGCGAGCTCGGGGGGGACGTGGATAGTTCTCTTCTCCCCTACTTTCATGCCGACGATCCCTTGCTCGAGCCCCGGCTGCAGCTTCCCGCTACCCAGCTTCGTGTCCAACGTGCCTGAGTTCACCTTCTGGTTCAGCATGAGCTTGCAGGTCGGCTCGCTCGCGTCGCACGACTCCATGTACTGCGAATACTCAACCCTGACCCTGTCCCCCGCCTGACCACTGTCAGCCCTCTCAGTGACCCTGCGCCTCTGCTTACCTCAGCCTCCTCCCCTTTCCCAGGCATCAGAATCTCAATCGTCAGCCCGTTGCTGAGCTTGATAATGTTGGAGCTAGCCTACGGGTCCAAGGTGACTCTTCATCTCCTTCCTCCCTCCCTCCCTCCCTCCCTCCCTCCCTCCTCTTTCATCTCTCAACTTCGTACCTTGATGTCAGCCAAGACTTCTGGTTTCGTCGCCTCCTTTATCCGTGCCTGGAAAGCTTTCAGAGGAACAGAGTCAAGAGGCGTATCAGGGACCTGCGACCGGGCCACATCTCCCGCATGGACGACAGCAAGAAGGAGGACGATGAGACTGAAGAGGCAGGTGTAAGCTCAGTAAATGAACGTCCCTCATCTCATAAGCAAATCTGTCAACAAGCTCCATCCTCTGCTTTCTCCTTTCGCCAGACACATCCTCAAAAGGCCCGCTGCCGTACAGCGGCAGTCACGGTCATCCTTCAGTTCCTCTCCGACTCCTTGCCTTCCTTGTGCCCCTTCCTCTCCCCTCTACACTGGCTCATCCCTCACCGTCCTCCCTTCTCCCCTCCCCTCCTCCCTCCCTCACCTCACGTTCACCGCTCCCGCCGCCATGGTGCTATATCCGTCAAATGGTTTGACCAGGCACCACCCCACCCCTCAAATGCCGCTGTCGACCCCGTCCTATCTTTCTCAAATTCACCCCCTTTAAAAGAACCCCTGTTCCCTACTATGAAAGTACCCCTCCCCGTAGGACTTATATAAGTAAATGGGTTTGTCGGGGAGAAATGGCGGCGAAAGGGAACGATGTCTAGCGCGATGAGGAAGGAGAGGAGGAGAGGAGGAAAAGAGGAGGAGAGGAGGAGGAGGAGAGGAGAGGATATGGAGTGAGAGAGGGAGAAGGGATGCGACTACATGTATATATGAGTCGGAGTGCAACGTACTAGGTCATGAAGAGACCTGACTAGTCCTGGTACGCCTAGTTGGGTCGTAGAAAGGAGGGAAAGAGGTTGGAGAGAATAGAAACTCTTGCAAAATACAAGACATGGATGAGCTCTACTGGTCGATGGGTGGTTCAAGTCATCGTTCCGTCTGTTGAGCGAAGAACAACGCTGTCTGTCATCAAGAAGGCAGGCAAGAGGGCGGAAAAAAAGGAGGAAGAGGAAAGAAGGAGGAGGTTTCTGGGAGGATCCTTGATCAGCTAGAAGGTCGGCGTGCCTGCAAATGATCAAGAAGAGAGCAAACAGAGAGGAGAGCGACGGGATATCCCTCGTCGAGCACGCGGATGAGGCTGGTGGGGACTATGCAACCATCCAGACAACTCCCAGCTTTGAGACTCGCGATGGGGACACGTCCAGGAGCTGGCTGCAGGTAGAGGAGAGTAGCGACGATCAGGTAGAGCATGCTACTGCTGCCTCCGCTGACTGAAGCACCTCCCCCCCTGGGCCAACGAGCAGGTGGGTCTCCAGGTCGAGGACGACGAGGCCCTGCCTTCAAGGTGTGTCCTGCCCTGCTGTTGCTGCTTGTGGATGAAGAGCTCCGCTCAAGGCTGCAGTACAAGTGGAGCTGGTTGTTCATGCCCAGGATCCCCTGCGTCTCCAGCTCCAACGTTCCTCCTCCCTTCTTCCCGCTCGACAAGCCCATCCCATGGATCATGGCCATAGTCATGGGCTTGCAACACGCCATCGCCATGGTCGGAGGGATCGTCACGCCGGCTCTGCTACTCTCTGGGTCCAACGAGCTGCGGCTGAGCAAGGAGGAGACGCGGTACCTGGTGTCTGCTGGACTGATCGTCTCAGGCATCGCGTCCCTGATCCAGGTGCACCAGCTCAAGGTCGGGAGGACAGGGCTGGTGGTGGGGACGGGGCTGATCTCGGTTGCGGGAACTTCCTTCACCTTCCTCCCCATCGCCAGGTCGACGGCAGCCTACATGATGCAAGAGGACTCGCCGCGTGCCTGCACTCTGGACAGCGACTGCTTCCTGGCATGGGCGAGCGAGGAGGGGGTCTCGATCCCTGGGGTCACTAACATCGGCCAGGTGAAAGAGAGGAAAAGGAGAGAGAAGGAGAAGAAGAGGAAGAGATAGGAAGCAAGAGAGAAGAGGAGGGGGGACACGAACAACAAGGAGAGGAGAGTTACAAAGTTTTCATGACTCTTCCTCTCGTCTACTTCCTTCAGTGCAACACGGAGACGGGTCGATGCAAGTTCAGCGGGCAGGAGGCGTACGGGGCCTTCTTGGGTAGTGCAGGAGCGTCGAGCCATGGTGAGCGAACTGAATTCTCCGTAGGGACGTGCATGGTCTGCTCCCTCCTGGAGGTCTTTATAAGCATCGTCCCACAGAAATTCCTCCGAAAGCTCTTCCCCCAGCACGTTGCCGGTGGGCGCCGCTGCCTTCTCCTCCGTTGCTCACATACTGCATGCAGGCGTCTGCGTCCTCCTCATCGGTGTTGGCCTCACAGGGACGGGCATCAAGTACTGGGGAGGAGGAGCTTTCTGCGCAGAGCACTTCGCCAAGAGGAAGGTGGTGGGAGGAGGGAGGAGGAGGAGGGAGGGTGAGAGGGTTGGAGTGCAGGTGACGCTGGTGGGCGTGTCGATCCCTGGCAACGTGACCAAGGACTATCCTTCCTCCTCTCCCTGCTTCCCTCCCGATGGCCGGGGACCACGTTCAGCGGCAGGAGCTTGCGATCCGCTGGTCGGGGCGCTGAGGTGAACACGAAGTAGAGAGGAGAATCCTGCTGAGCCTTCCCAGGCACGTCTGCAAGTACCTTCCACCTCACTTCGACCAAGCCAGCAACGTCACGAGGGGAGATCGGACAGAGTGAGGGAGGAGCAGGAGCAGGAGGCGATGGGTTTGCGTCCTCTGACCTCCTACCCCTCAAGGTGCGAGACGTTCATGGATCTGCCGGGAGTCCCTCCGTCCCTCCCCGATCCGCGAGCCTCTTGGGTTCTTTGTTCAGGTCAGCCCTCTCCCTCTCCCTCGTCACCCTCCTTCCCTCCTCCCACTCTGACTATTCTTTCCCCCCCTCATCCCGTCCCTCCTCCCCCCCTCCTCCCCAACTCTCCTCCCCAACTCTCCTCCTCTCCTCCTCCTCTCCCCGTCGTCTCGTGCCCTTTCTCACACCCATTGCAGGCAACGGTCAAGTCAAACTCGCCTACGGCTCGAAGGAGGTGGAAGCAGAGAGTTGAGAAGGCGGGGAGGACGACTGACAGGCCTGTGCTGGCCAGTACGTGACCCTCGGGATGCTGGTGTTTGCTATCTTAGTGTTGACGGAGATTTTCGGCTCTCCTTTCATCAGGAACTGTCAGGTGCAGCGCCTAACCTGAGCCAGCAAGGGCGGCGAGTAGATGAATTGCTCTGGGCAGGTGGCGTTCGCTCTCATGGTTGGATTCTCCATCGCTGGACTTTCGAGGTGAAAGGAGGAGGGAAGGAGGAGAACGAGCCTGCTTGCTGACTGGCTGCCCCCTTCGCCCTCAGCTATGAACAGGATGGGAGGCGAGTTGAGATCCGTGCGCGAGCGATACAGGGGAATGAGCTCGTGGCAGGCAACTTCGATTTGTCAATCTCGACGGCGTCTCGTCAGCTCCGCCCTTCACCTTCCTCTTCAGCAAGGTGACTGCAGCACGTGCAAGGCCGACTGAGCAGAGCCTTGCCTATCTAGGTCTTCCCCATCTCCATCTACCTGCCCTCCATCTTCCCCCTCCTCATCTGCTTCGTTATCACCTCCGTGGAGTCCATCGGAGACATCTCAGCCTCCGCCGAGGCGTCCCAAGGTCAGACTTCTCTCAGTTGAGCCAAAGGAGGAGCAAGCCAAGTGACTCGTTGCCGCAGTCGAGACCCAAGGCCCTGTCTTCGAGCGAAGGCTGCAGGGGGGGCTGCTAGCGGACGGGCTGAGCAGCCTGCTCGCGTGCTTGCTCACTTCGATGCCGACCACCACCATGTCGCAGAACAACGGAGTGATAGCCATGTCGCGCTGCGCAAGTAGGAGAGCAGGTGAGGAGCATCGCAGCCCTTCCATGTCGTTGAGGGGGCGCCAACCCGCAGGCTATGCGTGTGGAGTCTGCCTGATCCTGATGGGGTCGTTCTCCAAGCTTGCCGCCCTCGTCCTCGCCATCCCTGACTGCGTTCTCGGCGGCATGACAACGTTTCTCTTCTCCAACATCATTCTCTCTGGAATCAAACTTATCGGTAGGGATCCTCCTCCCACCGGCGCCTCCTTCCTCCCCCCTCCCCCTCCTGACTCTCTCTAGGTGCTGCTCTCGTCGATCGTCGCACGCGGTTCGTCGTCGCCATCGCTGTGGGGGTTGGCGTCGGCGTTGCCATCAGCCCAGCCTGGGCGACCAACGCTCTATGGGTGAGAGAAGAGGTGAGGGCGAGGAGGAACAGCGATGACGCTCCAGTAGGTGAAGGATCCGCACGCGACACAGACTTGGCAGCTGCTGCGAGACACAACAATCCTCGTAATCTCCAGCCCCTACTGCATCGGGACCAGCATCGCGCTCCTCCTCAACCTCCTCCTCCCTCGGGACGCCAAGACCCACAACACTTGAACTCAGTCAAATCTTCACTTTCCAGAATTTAATCCAAAAACGACATGTTTATCGAGCACCCTGCTTGCCAGGAGCAGACTGACGAGCAGGCTTAAGGTTGGCGCCTCCCTTGGTTCCCTTAACGTCCATCTTGTTTCCAGCCTGCAGACCAGGTCAAGACAAACAACTAGATGAGCAGGGAGGAGGTATACAGGAGCGGCCTTCTTCGCTGGGGCGTTCTTCTTCTTCTCCTCCTGCTTCTTTCTTGCTGCATCCTTGGCCTCACTGTGAAGGAGTACATCATCAACGTGCTCACACAAGCTCCTCGTCCTCACCGAACGGTGGCCTCACGCATGGCCTTACGACGCTCCTTGCCCTCACTGGTCTTGTTCTTCAACTCCTCGATGGTCATACCCTGGATACCACGGGACAAGACGGAAGTGCTGATGACCCTCTTCTTGGCCTTCTTGAGCTGGTCCTCCTGAGTTCCCTTCTTCCTGAGACGGCGGTAGAACAGAGTCCTAACACGTTCACGTGAGTGGTGCCGCTAGATGGAGCAGGCAAGGCATGAGAGTGGAGACAGGAGGAAAGAAAGGGGAAAGGGGAAGATACGGCATAGTCTTGAACTCACCAGTTCAGCTTGCGGGGGTTGCGCTTCATGTGGAAACTAGCTTCGTTCTTGGCGTTAATGAAGCGGAAGGACTGGAAACCACAGCCGTCACTCAACAGAACCTCCTGCTTCCTTCGTCTTCACCTTTCCATCCGTGCGGATGTAAAGGCAGCCATGGCCAGGATAGATCCTGAAGTTACTGAAGGTGCAGGTCTCGGTCCTGAGGAAAGGTCGTCAATAAAACGTCCTTGGTAAAGGCACAAGGGGGGGAGGACGGGAATGGTGTATCCACAAGGAGGATGCTGGTACAGAGGCGGAGAATGTGTGAAGATTATGATGCGAGTGGAATTGAGAGGAAAGAGAATGAGCTCGAGATAATGCAGTATGAAGCAAGACTGAAGGAAATGGAGCTTGGAAACATCTATCATCAACCGTGACAGGGTAACCGTGACAGGGTAACCGTGACAGGGTAATGCTTTGCACAAAACAAATTTTTGATATTCAACAAAGGGAACACATCACAGCTATATGACCAGAAAACATGGCAAGTAGAACACAACAATGACTGCCATGAACTGCAGGCATCTCCATACCAGTTAACCAACAAACAGCCTACCCAGAGGAGGCATTCACCGAAAGACAACAACAATGCAGCACTTCCACGATAGGAGGAGAACACGAGTGGGAAACGGAAGGAGCGATGAAAATGATCATGACGAGGAGGACAAAGAGCATCTGCCATGGAGCGAGGGAGCGCCAAGGCAGAGCATGCTTGTCTTACTTGACCACCATAGCTGCCGCTCGAGGACTCGCAGCACGAGGCTCCTTTTTTTCTTTTTTTCGTAACGTCGGTAACGGCTTGCATCCAATAAAATATTGTATTCAGAAATGAATATATAGGAATGTCAGCGGGATTGAGAATGTATTTTATTGAATACATATATTCAGTAACTGTGTCGCAATAAACAGTGTCAACGGCGTCAATAACCGTTTCTCAGTCTAATCAAGTTTCACTGCCCTTCGGACCCGGCGACAGCCGGTGGGCCCGGAATGATTCTCAGGACGAGAAACATGCTGAAGCTCAAGCTGGGAGGGTGCTGTCCTGAGAGGTAGAGCAGAGCAGAGCAGAGCAGAGCAAAGCAGAGCAGAGCAGAGCAGAGCAGAGCAGAGGAGGAGAGAAGGGTAGGGAGTATGCTGGAATGAGTAACGTGCAGGAAGGAAAGGGGAAGAGAGGAGGAACTTGAAGGCGGGGAAGGGGAGAGAAGGAGAAGAGGGCAGGGCAGGGCAGGATTGGGGAAAGGCAAGTCTTCCAAGGAAAAACTGCGTGGCTCGACATGTCCTTCAACAACAACAATTTGTTTGCAATGCAGCAGCAGCAGCCATGGCCACAAGCGGTCTTGCAGTCGTTGCCGTCGCAACACATGGGGGGTGCAGTGGGTATGGGGCAGGCACCAAACCCTGGGCATCAGATGCCCAACACCATCATGGCAGGTCTTCAGGGTGTCGCCGGCATGCAGTCGCCGGCAATGAGCAACGGGTTGAACGCACCCAACAGTATGATGATGCAGCTGCAGCAAACTCTCCCCCAAAGTTTCCCTCAAGGAAACATGAACCAGCCCTCCCCCGTGTTTCAACCCCCCCAGCCGAACATGCTGAACTCCCTCGGGCCCCGAGTCGCGATCGCATGCATGGCTGTCGTACCCGAGAACGACCCCAGGAGGGTAGTCATGCAGCCAAACGTGCAGCAGATGGCAGGGGGGCCTCACACCAGCTCGATGCAGCCTCACATGCGCATCAACGCCAACATGGGCCTGCAGAGTGGAAATATGCACCAGCCTGTGGGGCCAGGGATGCCCGTAGGACAAGCCAGCATGGCGGCGCAACCCCGAAGCACGTTGACGCTGCAGGAACCGTTGCCGATGAACCGTCTGGTGAGTCATGAGTTCCCTAGGACGACTAGGGCGGCAGACCGTGTGTAGTCTGTGACTTCTCTGCAGAATATCGGCCACAATGGCAACTTCCAAGTGATGCATCACCAGGAGAACCGAGACATGTCGAACGTAATGGTAATCATGTCACCGAACAAGTCTTTGTCAGACACTTGACGTATGTGCAACAAGGATCGAGGGGTGGTTCAAACGATATTCAGTCATCGTGACACTGGTGAGTCTTCTGCTGATCACTCACTTGCCATCGCTCTAGTGTTCTTGATACATACTGGACAGGCGGTTTGCTCCAAGGCGGCGGCCATGAGCCTGCAAGTCTTCAAGTCCCCGTGAAGAGCGACTACGGTGCACAAGGACGCCCACCCTCTCTCCAACATCAACTCAACCACAAGATCCAGCCGATGCCGACCATGGACGTACCAGAGGGAATTAAGCGTCCAAGAACGATGCATCTCGACGCCGTACCTGATCTGCCAGACCTGTACAATGAGCCCGTGTATGACGAGGGCCCCGATCGGACTAGAACATCCCGCACCGCACAAGCAGCGGCGAGGGGTGGGAACGATGACAGTCTGCAGTCGTTGGACGGAGGAAAATCGAAGCCTACACAGGATCCCAAGAAGAGGGCAACGAGGCAATGGAAAGCATTCCAAGAGGAGCGGGAGCGAGTTCATCAGATGTATGTAGTCCTCTGCCATTGACTGCTTTTTGGCTTTCCTGTGACCGTGGGTTAACAGGGATGAGGCGAAGAAGCAGGCTTCTAAGAAGAAATATGACAATGACGAGGAGGAGGGTCATAGGAATCGTCCTAACAGCCAAGGTGCTCGTGGTTCAAAAAGAAGATTAGGAGAGGACAACAGTCAAGACGGCAAAGGGGACTCGCAGGGGAGGGCGACTACCACTGCAGTCGCCCTCACTGAAGCGCAGAGGATAGCAAACGAGGAATATCAGAAGAAGCTAAGGGAAGAAGCGCTCAAGAGCATCTCTCTCCGCAGGCAGAAGAAAGCAGCAGAGGTCAGTCAGAAGGCCGACATGGAGGCAGCGCCAGCGAACCCGCCCCCACACGACGGGGCAGAGATGTTGTCAGACCTCAAAGTAGTCTCTACTCCGGTCCTGAAGGTCGTGTCTTGTCTTGCTGATCTGATGGAGCTGATCCGAGGCTTAGAAAATTCAAGCGGATCTTGAGATGAAGCTGCAGAAGCTGCGACAGCTACAGGACGAATCGAAAGACAAGGAGGAGCAGATAAAGGCGACTACGATTGATAAGGAATGCTGTTTCTGACGCTTGACTTGTCCAGGCCGACATACAAATTCTGGAGATGCAGGTAGACGAACAACAACAGAAAGTCAGAGCTTTGCATGATTTATTTGCTGCCGAACTTGTTCAATACGATGCTGAAATATAGCTTTCAAAAACTGAAACAAAAATTTTACACTGCAACGGACTAGCAGGAGACAACAAGCTAGGCGGCAAGTGCCGTTGAACATGATGGTGCTCTCATGCTTACAAACCATGGAGCATTTCCCATCATCGTGATCTATGTACAAGAGGAACGAAGAGTGTCGACCTCCTCATTTCATCAAAGGCTTTCCAAAGTTGGCAGGCCGCAACAGTCCGAGCGGGGGGAGAGGCATTTTGCCTCCCAGAAAGTTTCTGTTCTCCGGGGGATACGCACAACTATCTTGCCTCTTGGCACCCGGTTTCAGGCTCTCGCTCCTCTCAGAATTCTCTGTGGGGCTCGAAACCCGAGAAGCCCAGCGGATGAGCAGGTCCGACAAGTCGGAATCCGAGTAGAAGGGGCTGTGGCCGCTTGCAGCAGGAAGCGCGAAGAAGTTGTTGAAGCGAAAGTTTCTCTCACTCATGCCGTCATGAGAGATGAAACAGCTGCCTGCCCTCACAGCGATGAGGAGCACGGATACGAATAGCAAGCCAGAAGTTCTCCCGAACATGTTTGCAAATCCGATAAATGTCTCTATGCAATGAACGATGTTTCTATTGATGAACTCACTCACAGTGGCGCATGAATACCTGCAGAATGGTTAGATAATGATTGCAGGACGACGCCCATGTCTCAGAAAATACAACTATTCTCTGAATCTCCTGACCGCAGTTTGCTAATGTTTGTTTCCTTTTCTGTGCGTCATCACGAAAATCATGACTCAAACGTCGCTAGACTTCTTTTGCGCTAGAGAAAAATAATTTCAACCATCCAACATGATTCTTGCTGTGACTTTGTAACCTGGTCTGAATGGAAATCTCCATTATCTACTCGAAAGAATACTACAAGAGAGAGATATTTGAGCCTCTAAGTGAGAAAATTTAGAGCCTCAGCCAAAGAACAAGCTTAAATCATCATTACAGCTTGAATGATAACATCTTCACATATAGTTATCTCGCATTCTTGCTGGTTTTCAGCATAACTTTCGCGCTACTTCGTTGTGCTTTCGGCCCCCTGAGAATTTCGCCAATCAAAAAGAACACCCCACCCCGTTTTGCCTCCACACCCCACCCCCGTCTTCGTCACCAGTATCTGTACCCCAGAACTACCACTCAAAAAGGGGGGTATTTTGTAGTATGTGAAACAGCGAGTACCCCCTCTACCCATGCTCCAATGCGACCGTGACCCCTCCTCGCTGCTCCCTTCGGGGAAACGTATCTCTATTGGAAAGATCCATAAAGATCGGAGAAAAATATATTATAAAAATATTTAAGATGTAGATGATTCACCATTGTACGGAGAAACACGTGTTTAAAACACTTTTACAACATAACATATTGATGAGAAAAAAACTTTTATTGCTGGCTGACCCCTGGACAGTCTTACGGATACTCGCGGATATTCATGGGATTTCTCACGGATACTCGCGGATACCTGCCGGAAAAGGAAAGGCGCGCATGAGCAAAGTTCTACGAAGGCCATGGCTGAAGCCGGCGCTGCTTCGCTTCCCTGCTCAGAGCCTCCCACCGTCCTCCCTTCAGCAGGTCGTTTCTCCTTCCTCCCCCCTGCCATGATCTCCTGTCCCTCACGCGTCTGCGAGACTCTGCTCAAAATTTCCATTCCTCCCTCTCCACCGCTGAGCCTCCCTGAGATCCTCTGCTCGCATAGCCGAGTTGCTATGTGATGGTGCTGATTTCTCTCTCATTTTTATCCTCCTGCTCCTCTTGCTCCTCTTGCTCCTCCTGCTCCTCCTGCTCCTCTTGCTCGTCTCCAGCAGCGATCCCGCCCCCATCCCATGCACTTGTGGATGTGACCCATGTGCTGCAAGCTTCCCCTGATGCCCCGGCAAGTTTTGACGCTGAAACATTTCAGGCTCAGCTGCTGGACATTGACAGGCAGATGATGTCTTGCCTGGTTTCTGATGGATACAACACCATCAGCTGCCACATCAGCAGCAAAGCTCTCGAGCAGTTCAACGAGGCCTTCCCAGGGCAGCGCCTGTCGGGGGCTCTGGTTTCTATTCTACAAGCTGGTGATGAGCATGCTACGGCGGTCGAGGAGAGATGATGTGACATGTCGAGGAGCAGGCTTCGACCTGAACCAAGAGTGCAGCGAGTTTGTGCTCTCAGTGGACAACTTCGAGTGGATCGGAGGGGAGAGCTTCGCGTTCGGGCAGCCTGTGGACCTCAACGCAGACCCGGATGTGAGGAGGAGATAGAAGGTTGAGCTCGAGTGATGACAAGCTTGACAGGTCCAATCCCTCCTCGGGATCTTCCGTCGGGATGGCGATCAAGCGAGGATCCCCGACATTCAGCAGGAGAAGCTTGACTCCATCCACTCCAACGGCTGGCACGTGAAGGAGCGAGCGGTGGACCTGGACACCGAGGACGAGTGCGTCTCCGAGGCGAGCGAGCACGGGGAGAGCCAGCCTTTCTTCTTCCACGTGCAGGCAGACGGTCTCCTGCACGAGGAGGGCAGAGAGGTGCAAAAGGAGGCGAGTTGACAAGGAGTCGCTGAAGATGCTGGCAGGGCTTGACGGGCAACTTAACGAGCAAGGCGTACGAGATTGAACTGTGCGATGTGAACGAGGACAGCATGCAGTCGTCCACGGACCAGCCGGATGCCGCGCATGAGGTCCCTGCGAACCAAGGTTGGGCCGTTCAGAGCGCCAAGGAGTTGCCCTCGACTCAGGAGTTTGACGATGTGGGGACATTCGTTTCGCAGTCGCTGCTTGCAGGCTGACATTGTGATTGGATGTAGGATGATCATAACCAGCCACAGGAGGAGGAGGAGGATGAAAAGAGGAAGGAGGAGAAGGAGGAGGAGAAGGAGGAGGAAGGCAACCGCAGGTGATACCTCGTCTGCCATCCTCTGCTCCCCTCCCCTCAAGTTTCGCTTCTCTCCTCTTACTATTTTTCGCAGCCCCGTCAACGAGAAATCAGAGTCAACCACCGACAAACCCACGAGGCACCACGAGACGCCTCCGACCCTCGTCAAGGGAGGAAACGCGACGTAAGGAATTCACATGCCTTGCCCTGTCGTTGCTGATGTGCATGGTCAAGGGCCGGGAGCGGGGAGGGATGGAAGGCGGAGCAGGACAAGTCACGCCGGCAGGCGGTCAAGAGGATGCTGTCAGAGGGCGAGCAGGAGACAGAAGCAGCTGAAACAGGGAAGGAGAAGGAGGAAGGACGGAGCCAGGAAGGTGGAAGGGGGAAAGGAGGGGAAAGGAGGGAGGAAGAGGAGGGAAGAGAGGAAGATGGTCAGTTGGACCTGCGGGCAGTGTTAAGAGAGATGGACTTTGAAAACTCGGTCTTCAGCAAGGAGGAGAGGAGGGCAAGGAGCCACAAGAGGCTGATACAGGCAGAGAAGAAATATTTCGCGAGGAGGATCAGGGCTCGACGGGTTTTTGAGGACAGGGAGGCGACGGGGCAGTCCGTGTGAGCGTGATCAAGAAAATTGAGATGCGATCTGCTTCGATAACATTGAACGCTCCTCCTCTCCCGTCCTCCGCCGTCTGCTGCCTCATCCTTCTCCCTTGCTGTCTTTCATCGCCTCCTTCACTTTGGCCAGTCTGTCAAGTAGGAGGGCGGAGCGATCGAACACCTGCCGATGAGTAAGAACGAGAGCCGGAGCAGACGCACTCTTTCCTGCCGCATCCTCTCGAACTCCAGAGGCAGGAAGAGTCCGTCGGAGGCAAGCATGACAGGGACAGCTAGAGGAGGGGAGGACGAGGAGGAAGTGGCAGCAGTGGTGGTAGTGGCAGCGGCTGCGATTGTTGTGGTCGAGGGTGCAGACCCTGCAGAGCACTGTCAGCAACACCTCGCACAGGGGGGGGAGGGACCGGCAGTGAGATCGAGGGAGAAGATGTTGGGGTAGCGCTGACTGAAGTGCGAGAGGATGGTGCCGTAGCAGAGGCGGCTGAGGACGACGTGAGCATGCAGCACAGGGTCGGGCGCTGTACCTCATCCCCATCCTCCTCCTCAGCCGCTCTCGAAGTTGCTCGCCAACCTGGATGGCCTGCGGACTGTCACTTCCACCTCCTCTTCCCCCCTGCACTCCCCAAGGAGGAGATTTCACTGCTCACCTCCCCTACTGTGCTGTGTCGCTTCCTCTTTGCATGCTCGAGTTGATCCGAGTCGAACGTGGCCTCATGGATTAAGAGCACACAAGCTCTCGCCGCTCCCCCGCCCTCTCCTCCTGCAGTCTTCCTCCTCTCCTCCTCCTGGTGCTCCTCCACCATCCTCATCGTCTCCTCCACCAGCTGCATGCTTGGCCGTGTGTCCCCCGAGTACGTAATGATCACTTCCTCCTTGCCATTAGAGCGCGACTGGAATCGGAGGATAGCTGCATGCGCGTCGTGGCTGTGGAAGACAGGGAGGCTTCTGAGGTGGAAGGAAGGAAAGAGGACGTGCCGATTGCAGTCAGTGAAATGCTTGCAGGCAAGAGAAGCAGAGACATCTGAGTACAAGAGTTTGTGAGAGGTGGTCGAGGAGGAGGAGGGAGAGGGGGGGGGGGCAAGGGAAAAGGGGGAGGAGAGGAAGAAGGGAGGAGGAGGAGAGGAGGCAGCAGTTACTTGAATTCCCCCTGATGACATGGTGATAGCTTTCAACTACTTGCTTGAGAGCATGCGGTCCGACAATCAAAACATCCTCCTGCTCCTGCCCCTGCCCCTGATCTTCCATCCTCAACTGTTTTGTCTCCCTCCTACCGCCTGCTTCAGCCTCTTCATCACACCGAAAAGTTTCAGACCTGCAAGCTGGACATTCCTGTGCGAGGAGGCGATGGTAGAGAAGAGACAGCAGGCCGCTAACAACGCCATCGTCAGCGGGAAGCAAGAGGGGTGGCACATCGTGACACCTGTGGTGGTCTGCATGCATGTGAGAAATCCAAACCATCTTGATCTCCATCAGGAAATCGTGCCACCTCCAAGTTGGGCACGAGCGGATCTCGTCCAGCTTCCCCTCTACCTTCCTCTTACCCTTCTCTTTCCATTCCCCCTTCCCCTCTTCCGTCTCCTTCCTCCCCTCCTCCCCCTTCCCCTCCCCGAACTTCCCTCGTACATTTCGTTTTCCCACGTTGCTGGCAATCTGCATGAGGCGGGAAAGACATCCCTCCCCGCAGTCCAGCAAGATTCGTGTCTTTCCATTTACCTCCCGAGATCCCACGGAGGTTCCAGGGATGGAGAGGAGAATTCCCGAGCAGGATCGTAGCCTGCTGGGAGCAGCTGCACCGGTGCCGAGGAACACCTAGTTTCGTAAAGTACGTGAGCTGCAGATGAGCAGCAGATTGTGCCTGGGAGGCCGAGGTTGAAGGTGATCCGAGGTTGAGAGAGAGAGCAAGGGCAGAGGGAAGTTGTCGTACCAGGTGATCAATCTCCTCCAGGTAACCAGCGGGCTGTGCTTCCTCCTGCTCAGAGCTCTTGGTTTGCACTGCTCCCTCTGAGGGAGGAAGGGAGGGGAGGGGAGGGAGCCCTCGGAGCTCTCTCTTCATGTTCAAGGCCGCAAGCTTGTTAGAGGACGAGCTTGGCTTGTTCCTGCCACCCTCTTTCCCCCGCGTCAGACAACAACCTTGACATCAGACACTTCACATCACCTTCACTGAGGTCGACGACTCTCCCCCTGGACATTTCTGCGAGCTCACACTCTTCTGAGCGAACCAGCGCACCTTGGCTGTGCTCACTGACACATTTGGGGAATATTTGCATAACTGCCAAAGGAGACAGACTGGCTGAGTCGTCTTCTGATGGATTTTTGTGCTTAGAAGCATGCGAGAAAGGAAATAACCAAGGCTCTGCTCTGTGCAGCATGAGGTTTTGCCGACAGTAGGAGGGAAAGAAAGTGGAAAAAGTGCTGTTCTTGACGTCTGGAAAGGAAAACCTGTCAGACAAACAGCAGAGAAGAGAAGAAAGATCATATTTCATGTGAGCGACCTGTGTCAAGGATCATCTCGATTTCCTCTTTCTCCACAGCACAAGGCCCAGAGCTTGCCTCATTTGTACACAACTCAACGTGTTGGAATAACTGGAACACATCACGTTCTCTCAGACTCCGGAATTCTGCACTTTCCAAGACGCTCCTGGTACCCAAGTGCAACATGACTCTCTGATGCAGATCGTCTCTCAACTTTCCGTCTTTTGATTTCATCTCCATCTGCTCTAGCCAAGACGTGATCGCCTGACACACTTGGCTCGCATCAACCTGCTCATCTGCATGATCCACAACAACAAACAAAGTCTGCCTGGTTGCATTCGCATCAGAATCTTTGTGCGGTTGAGGTGGAGGGCCCCGAATGAGGAACGCATATGATAACACTGGTCTTGACCTTGAAGAACTGTTTTCGATGCAGTCTCCATGCAAGGTTTTCTGGCGTTTGTTCGACGTTGCTGTCATCGGGATCGCGTGGATTGAAACTCCAGTGTGTGGGGCTCGGCTCTGTGCCCAGGCAAAGGTATCTGGATCATCAGATGAGCTGTTGAAGGCAAAACCTTTGTCTCCTTCTGCTCCGACTTCGGCGACTTCAATCTCTGGGAAACGCCGCCTGACGAAAGTTCTCACGGTCTCGATGTAGGAGTGGAGGGGGGTTGGACCAACGAAAGAAAGGCTCGCACTACCCTTATCACTGAGGTGGAACAGCAAGCTCGAGATGCCTGAGATCCTCGTGGGCTCGCAGCGGGTGACAAGGACGTGGCTCACTCTACTCAACTTGGTCCGCGTCTCGTTCAGGATGCGGCATGCACACTCGCCGCAGTTGACGAGCACCTGCATGAGCGGCTTCTCGTCGTTGCTGTACTGCGCCCTCCTCAAAACTGACAAGCAGACGGCCGGTCCAGTGCCTTCACTCCCATCACCTAACGACATTATCCGAGCGTACAGACTCGCCATGGCCTACTCAACCGATCGGATCCCACGATGCTGTCAAGTGAGCAAGGCGAGGAGAGCACGAGGAGGAGCATGAGGGTCGGTCTCAGCCATCTCTCTCACTCCGCATCCTGCGCGCCTTGAGGGAGTCATCAGGTCATCCCCGCTCTCGATGCGACTCTACAGCGAACCTAGTTCCATGGTCCTTTACTCAAAGTTAAGTTAAAATGAATCCGATCCACGAGCCCTCGGAGTCGGACCGGGAAGTGACTCACGCAGTGCCGGCTCAGCAGTCAGACTCTCGGACTGCCGACTCGCCCGGGCGGCCGGGCCGATGATGACTGAGGGCCCGGACCGACCATCGGACTCCGAGTCCCCCGGCGACTCGGACTGCGTGCCACGGGCCGTGACGCCCGGGCCGGCGGTGCCACCGTCACTCAAGTTCAACTCAAGTTAGGGCCAGTACTATACGGTTACTGACGGGCCCTGAAGTCCGTGACGGTCAGAGTTTGAACTTTTTGCTCGAAGTTAACTTTAAACTAGTCAGTCCTGATCAGCCGCTGGCACTGGCAAGTACGCCGTCACGGCAGGCGCGGCACTGTCACTCCGCCGGGCCAGGCAATTCAAGTGCATTGAACGGGCCCCGCCGGGCGCCGGGAGCCGCCGATCATCCGAGCCTCGGATCGCCGGGCGCTCCCGGATCACGAAGATAATGTGCTGGACAAACTCGCGAAGCCCGCCGCGGATTCCACTGTGACCTGCCATCGTGGTTGCGCACTGGACCCGTCACCCCGGCAAGCCTTCCGGATGATCAGCCTGACGGTCACCGGGTCACCGGGTCTCGCCGGGCAAGCCTTCAAAGCTTCACTGAGTGCCGCCCGGCGCCCGTGCTCACTGCCCGGCCATGATCGCCCGGGCCCCGGGACCGTCGCCGGGGAGTCTCGAGTCTCACTGCTTGCCACGGCACGGTCAGATCGGACGCGAAGCGGGGCCCGGAATACGCCGGGTGGCAACTTGATTTCAGGTTCAGTTTGAAATCTTCAGTCTGAGCCTGTCCGGCGCTGCCAGGCTGTTTTTTCTCTTCTCGCCCGGCGGCCGGGCCTGTGCGTCGGACAGCCGGACTCGGTGTCAGGGTCCGATCGCCGGGATGATGATCAAAACTGGCCGGCAGTGCGGCCCGGCCGCTCTACTAGGCTACTACCGTACTCCGGATTCAATCGTCCCGGTGAGTCATAGTGATTTTTAACTCAGTACTATCACTTTGCGTGATCGAACTTTGAGTAAAGATCGAACACTACTAGCTGTACTGTACTAGTAGTTGAAAGTTAGTTGTGAGATTTAAAAATTTTCAGCTTTCCCATAAACCTGTTGCCCTTTATAACTGAAATTTAAGTTGCCAAGTTGGGTGCAGCGGATTCCTGTTTACTCAACCAGGCGGTAAAAGTTTTTGAAAGGGTAAATGACAGTAGAGGTGTTCCGACTTTACCGACCCTCCGACTCGTTTAGCGGTACTCTGCTTTGTACCAGAAGTATATATCCATGTAATTAGTACCATAAACTCTTATATAAATAAGTTTCTAACAACTACACTTTTATAACACACCTGAAATCTGAATGAATGACCTCAGACGCCGTCAGGGCACAAGTGATGTGCTCTAGTGTCTGCTTTTCTCGATTCAGGCATCTATCAATATTCACTCACCCATCCAGTGCCGCCTCAGACTGGATTGTGGACCACCCACCCCCCACATTCTGACCACCCGGTATACCACATTTGGCAGCTTCGTCAACCTTCTGGGAACTCAAATCGGAGTAGGAATCATGCCCTGGGGTACAACCGGTGGGGGTCTGAACTCCTTGGGGTAATAAAATGTGTGGTCAACAGTAGGTACTTAATAGTTAAAATAGGGGTAGGGGTGGAGACATTTAGGTGCGAAATGAGCATTGCCGGAATGGACAGGGGTGGTTTTCAGTGAGGTGGAGATGAACAGTGGAAGAGCAGGAGAGGGTGGGTAGGGGTCTGAACACAGGGGTGGTATACACTAGTAGAAGTTGTGATCATTTGTACCGGCAGGCAGGGAGGGGTTGTGCTCCAAATGGAAATTGGAGGGGTTATTTATCGGGGAGAAAAGGGGGTGTGTCACGGTAGTTTTGCAGAACGCCTCTTGGCCGGATCCATATTAGCTCTGCCTCTTCGCAATGCTGGGGGCGGCGCCGCATACGGCGCCGCCATTCCTTCCTAAAAGGTGAGGAGCGATGCTTCCCTCCTGAAACCCCCCTACCTTTCTCTTGAAACTTTGTGTATGATATGAGGTTGACGAAATACAGAAGCATTCAGTGGAGCTGAGTGCTTTTGCTTGTCTCTGTGCTGCTCGTAATATCAGCACCTTGTTTGATTTATCAGATTTTATGTTCATGCTCCTTTGCTCATGAGAATATGCTCATGGTATCAACGTCTTTCATTGATTAGTATCTGATATCGTGTGATATGTCACGATCTAAACTAATTTCATCGTTTTGGAACCAGGATCAGATTGCGTCGCCTAGGCCATGCTGCTCTAGCATGCTTAAGTGCTTGTCTGGTTCTCCTGCTCGTAGCCAAGGGTACCCTACATGCAACCTCGCAAACATCAAGAACAGCGCTTCTTGGGCTTACCAAAGGCGACCGTGATCAAGGACACACTGAGCAGCCTGCCATCTCATTCAAATCAAGGGCTGCTCGTGTGCAGACAAATGGTGGAACCATAGAGATGAAAGTGCCAAAGTTGCCTTTCATTTCTCTGAAGTCAACTGATAAGTCTTCAAAATCGGATGAATGTGGTTGTTCCAAATGCCCATGTGGTGCTAACAGCAACATTCAAAACAGCGGCTTCTTCTTATCCGGCAACACTGTTTCGAAGGATTCCAAAATCATCATCTACGGCTATCCAGGAACTGATCAAGGTGGATCAGCTAGTTCAGGTTCGAATGGAGGCAGAAGCTCGTCGTCGTCGTCAGCCTCTTCGTCCTCGTCCTCTTCATCAAGTTCCTCGTCTTCGTCGTCTGGCACGGGCTCTTCTTCCGCGGGCAAGGGATCGGGTTCTTCTTCCTCGGGCAAGGGATCGGGTTCTTCATCCTCGGGTCAGGGATCCACTGGTGGAGGAAACACTGCCAGCGGGAAGACAGGCAGCAGTAGTTCTGGCTCAAGCCAAACATGTACGTATTGAATTTTGTTGGATGTACTTGTCTCTAACATGTGTACAGCTGCAACTGGTGTAAAAAGGAAGGAGATGAACCAGAAGGCGCGTGCAGATTCTCGACAGGCACTCCGCCAAACCATGAAGAGGTTTTGGGCATACCGTCCTACGAATACCGCATATTCCCGTTACCTCAGTGTTATTGTTCGAAACATGAAACGTCTGGAGAGGGGTTACAGCAAGAAGATGACAGAGTACAGCCAACAATTGAGCTCTTCCAAATCGCCTGGAAGTGATGAATGGTTGAAAACCTACTCTGAATATGCAAAATATGCTCGAAGACTCAAAGGTTGGTACTCAAGATGGATCAGATTCTTGATCAAACGTCGACGTGTGTATCCTAAGTGCACGGATAAGAACAAGAAGTGCGGAAGTTATGAGTCGCTGACCAAGGAAATCAAAACGAATCGTGAGCGAAACTCAAATTTTCAAAAAATGCTAATTGAAAAAAATCAAGAGTGGCTGAAGAAAATTGACAAGTCAAGCAAAGCCCACAAACGGCTCTCTGCAGACCTTGAACGCAATGAGAAGCTTCAGAAGGCACGTCAGCGATATGTAAGATATCGAAGAAATGTCGCAAAGTCCAGAAAGTATCGCAGAGGGAGCAAGGACTACAAAAAGGCGATTGAAAAAGCCAAACACAGGTTTGAGCAGTTGATCAAAACGTATGAAGCAGGTTCTGAGCGATGGACAAAGTACACCGATGGACAGAAAGAATGCACCACAAAATACTACCGAGGGTTCCGTTACATTAGGTTGTATCGAAAACGCCTGTTCAGAATGTATCGCGCGTATGTGTCGTGGTTGGGTCGACTAAGACGATCAATGGGTCGCCATACCAACGAGTATAAAGAAATTTCCAAGGAACTCCGTGAGATCAAAAAGAAGACTTCTGATTCATACAAGGCTTTGGCTGTGAGGTATAAGAAGATTTGGAAGTGTTACAAGAAGGGTTCGCATGGTTACAATTATTGGTATCGTCGATATCACCATGCATCTCGATGGTACGGACGAATGCTCGCGGCCAGACGAACTAGGGACAAGAGAAGAGCTCTGCGGAATAAGCGTCGAGTTTGGAAGTATAAGGTCACAAGTGACAAGTACAAGAAGTACATCGAAAGGATCGATGCAAGGTGGAAGAAGATAAATGCCATTTATCAGAAATGGGAAGCGTATTGGAAGGGTCATCTTGAGAAGAGAAAGCTTGGAAGCTCTCGTTGGTTGCATGCGTACTATCATTGGAGAAGATACGTATGGAGAGGCTACCGTTGGTACTGGTGGTACATTCGTTTCATGAAGAGGAGAAGGCGATATCTCAAACGTTATCCCGACATGTACAAATCAGTGACCAAAGACATTGAAACATATGAAAAGGCAAGAAGAGATTGGATTCAATCTTATTACAAAACTGTCAAGGAGTACAACGAAAAGCTGAAGTCCAAGAAGGATAGCAAAGCGGCACGACGTCTGGCAGCTTCCAGAGAGCGGAGAAAACAAACGAAAACTTGGCGCTCAAACTATCACAAGTGGATGGAGTGGGAGAGAAAATTTTGGTCGACTAAGGCAGGAAGCAAGGATTCCAGAGAAGTGCTGTACAAGATGAGAAAATGGAGAACTCCGGTCTTGAAGTTTTTCAAAGATCAAGTAGACGATTACAACAAGAAACTTGGATCTTTGAAGAAAGGATCTCACAGGTATGAGCACTACTGGAAGTACCACATGTGGTGGCGTTACTATGTCCTATGGGTCTATAGACGTATGGTCTGGTTTGATTACAAACGGGCAGCCAGGTTGCGCAAGGGCTCCGCTCTACGAGCCCAAGTGACGAGGTTGAGATACAAGCACATGAAGACCATGCTGGAGTACCTCGGAGACATGAAGACAGAACTGAAGAAGCACCTCAAGGTTTGCAGACGAGGTGGTAGAGCCTATCGATACTGGTGGAGATGGCACAGGTGGACTACTTCATGGTACTCTCGTTACCGCTCCATCTGGAGGTCCATGTTGAAGAGCAAATCGAAGAGATATCGCAGAAGAGTGTGGCAAATGAAGGTGGGAAGTCGCAGTTATCGAATCTATGTACAACGAATCTGGAAACGATGGCAACGAGTTTGGCACTATTATGTTCGGAAGATGGTGTGGTGGAGGGCAAGGCTATACAAGTACCGTCCTGGCTCGCATCGATGGAGGAGATCGTTCTACTACTACAGGCTGTATTGGGCTCGCCTCATCAACTGGGGGAAGTGGTGGATTCGGTTCTTGCAACATCGTCAGAGATACTACAAGTCGGGCACCAACGGCTACAAGAAGCTTGAGATCCAAATTCAACGCTGGCAAACGTGGAGGAAAAATCTCCGACACAGTTACCTGAAGCGTTTGGAGTATTGGTCTGAGAAGCTCAAGAAGTACAATTCTAAAGGGAAGGCCTACCAATCCCTCAAGAACAGGCAAAGCGCTTATCAGTCCAGGAAAGATTTCAGAAGTTTGTGGCGAGAGTATTACTATGCCATGTATTACACTGTTCGTTCAAAAGCCGGCTCGGAACGATGGAAGAAATATGAACCAACAGTTGAAGGCCTCAGAGACAAAGTCTACGATTGGTACAAACAAAAGTGGGAATCTTATGAAGCCAAGCTGAAGAATTTGTCCAAACGCAGCAGAAATTACACTAGGTACTTCAGATTTTACGCTATCTACAAGTGGAAAGGAATGCGTGTCCACATGTGGGATGTTTGGTACAAGAACTGGCTTGTCCGCAGATTGCGTGGGTCTGAGAGAAACGAAGCTCGTGGAAAGCTCCACAAGGCAAGGAGTGTTTTGCGAGATGATTACAAGGATATCGCTCACTTCACCAAGACTCGAATGTCACAAATTCGTAAGCGTGGAAGAGAATGGAATTGGTGTTACGCGTGGTATCGATGGAGCACCAAGCGACTAGGAAGAGCTCGAGCAAGAACTCGATACAGGTCACGAAGAAGAGCATACTACTGGTTTCATCGATTCTACAACCTCAAGGTGGGGTACGAACAGTCGAACAAAGCTAGAGAGCACATCGAGAAGTACTACAACCGAGTGTTGCAGTTCTACGAGGGGCGAATGGAATATTGGAAGAAGAAGTTGGATAAGTATCGTCCAGGATATTACCACTGGCGGCATGCCATGTATCACTACAGGTCGTACAACAGGCGCTTGCTTCACTGGTATGCCTGGTGGATCAACTTCCACAAGAAATGGAGTCACATGTACTCAACGTCGAGCGATGACTACAAGAAGATCCGCGGCGAAATGGACAAGGTGCGAGAGAAGAAGAAGCAGGCGCAACAGCAGTTTTTGAGCACAGTGAAGACGTGGGTCGGCAAGCTGCCCAAGAGCTCGGCAGCGTACAAGTACTGGGAAAGGTATTACTCTCGATACAGCGAACGATCCGCGAACTATCGCCAGCCCCTTAGAGATATGTACAAGTTGGAACGCAGCTGGTGGGCGGTGCGCAAGAAGGGATACAAGGATGAAGAATTCCTCAAGGCCTGGAAAGAAATGAGGCGATCAGAAGAGAGCGTGATGGATATCCTTGAGAAGCGCGAGAACGATTACTCGAAGAAGGTTCTTGCAGAGCGAAAGCACAAACGATCTAGACAGTACCGTTACTACTTCCGCCGTATGTTGTGGTACTCCTACTACAGGTGGTACGTGCTGCGGAGGCGGTCGTTCTGGAGCCGATGGATGATGAAGTATGGAGGTGTAGACAGGAGTTCCTACTTCTACAAGAAGCTCTGGCGAGAATACAAGAAGTCTCGATATCAGATGTACGCCATCTACAACACAATGATCTTAAAACTGCACCAGCGACTGCACGAACTTAACCGACGATCGCGCTGGTGGAGGTACTGGTATCGCTGGTACCGCTGGGCAAGGTACAAGAAGAAGGCGTATCTGAGGTGGCGATCCTCCTACTCCAAGAGAAGCTCCGCCAGGACCAGGTCCTCGCTGTGGTCGTACAAGTATCACTCCAGAGAATACATGAGGGTTTACGCACGGGTGTGGAAGTACTGGCTCCGGATGTGGCAATTCTACGTGAAGAGAATGGTGCGCTGGAGAAATGCAGTAGCGCACACTAGACCCGCAGGAGACAAACGATGGCGTCGAGACTACTACAGGATGATGCGATACCAAGGGCGCATGCTGTACTGGATGGGATGGTGGATCAGATTTACAAGGAAGAGGCAGCGAGTCTTCACAAAACCCGGAACTTCTCAGTACAATGCTCTTGAGCGTAGCATCAACGCCTGGACAAATTGGCGATCAAGATGGCGCAAGGTGTTCACCAGGCGCATCCAATACTGGAGAAGCAAGATAAAGTCGGGAACCGTGGGATATCGGCTTGTAGACCGATACTGGAAGCTCTATGAAGGAAGAGAGACCTACACAGACATCTTGAGGACTTTGAGACAAGAAGAGCACAAGGTAACAAAGTCTCACCTGGCGTGACTGAACTAACTCGCTCGTTGCAGTGCTGGTTCTCCGGAAACTGCGATGGGGCCAAGATGAAGGAATATCGCGGAAAGCTCGTGAAAATCTATGACGACTACGCCAAGAAGTGGGAGGATCGCATGTCCAAGTACAAGAAGGCATCTCGGCGCTACATCTGGAGCTTCCGTCACATGTTCTGGTACAAGTATTACTCCATGCGTGAGTTCCGAAGGGGCCTGCGGATCGCGACCAAGAACAAGAACCAGGATAGAATCGACTTCAACAAGAAGAACGGACATGAGAGGTGAAATGAGTTGTTGTCTTGTGATCCCCTCACGGTCTTTCAGGTTGGATTGGCTGATCAACAGGCTCGAACAGGACAAGAAGGGACTTCCAAAGCGGGCATGGTGGTATCGGGTCATGCGCGGAACCGTGATCTGGTTGAAGGTCCATTACAAGCTCTTCCTTTAATAAGAGCGAATATATCATCATATTACAAGAAACATGAAAGCGTGTTAGTTGTTCAAACATATTCTACATGAAGTCAAATGACTTGGGTGATCTGACTCGAAATGGCTCTCGCGACGGTATCATACCTGAGACACGTGAAGCGTTAGACCTTCTCCCCTGAGGCTATCGCCTTACCCCTCAGGTTGCAGTGGAGGCCGTCGGGCTCCCAGATGCTCATCCTCTGAACTTGTGTGGCTTTCGCAAGAGGCAAAACTTTGTCGATGTCCACAACCAGGTCGCAGTCAATCTTGCGCTGGAGAATCGCCTCGTTCACCCGCAGCCTCGTCTCGTGGATTTGCGGTTGTCGCCTCTCTGACGTGGAGGTAAGAAGTGGAGCATGAAGCCGCCTGCCTGACTCACCTGCAGCGAGCTCTGGGATAGTCAACGCAACAGTCTTGCAGCCTGGAGACAACAAAGATAAACAACAAGAATGACGAAGAACATAAAACAGAACCGAATTGGCGGGCAATGGCGTGCAGGGTTCTGAGGTTCGATAGAATCCTGGGGACAATCAGTCTCTGGCATCTCAAGAAAATCCTCGTTGTATCACATGTCAGGGGAAGAAGCTGACACATCGTTCGTGCCACCAAGTATGATGCAGTGTGTGTATCGATTTCTCTTTAGCTGTGCACGGAGTCCCCTCCAAGATCTGACGATCAAAATATTGATGAGCATCAAACTTGGACGAAACAAGTTCTTGCCTCCTCACAACATCCACGCACGAATCGCTATCCTTGCTATCGCACATCTTGACCAAAAGTTATTGATGCAACGTCTTGTGCGTCAAGCAAACCTGTCGAGTGGTCCATCCAGAAAGCCCGATGTAATCCACTTCGACACCCAATAACTTCTTCAAGATTGCATTTCAGAAACGATATTGAGAGAAAGATGGACAACCTTGAGTAGATTTGCATACGGGTGAAAACGATTGCCTTGCGCGTAATATCCAGCGGTGAGACTATCTCCAAAGCATAGGATTCTTTTTCTTTGTTCGATCCTTCCTACCTTGCGAGTTTCCCTCGGGTAGCATGGAACGTAGGGATGTGAAACTGGAACGGCAAGAAACATCTGTTTCAAAATGCTTTTGTCAGATGCAATGACATGAACCAAACAATTCAAAAAGCAAAATTTGCGGCCAAACTCCAGGCTTCAGGACAGCAACGAGTTCAAGATACATAACTCATGGGCAAAAGCACCCGCAAAAAGACTGAGAATATGGAAATCAAAGCATTGCATCTTATGATGCAATCTCCAACAGACCACAAGAAAGTCGCACTTGGCAGATCGCAATTGGTTTCGTGACGGAGAGTATGCGTGTGGAGCATTTCTCTTGTTTGTTATCCTACGACCCTTCTCGGCTTGCTATCCAAAATCGAAATCATCCAAGTTTCGCTCTTGGATCTCTCTACACATCACACAAAACATTCGAAACAAACGTAGTCCCGATCCCCGTTCCTTGTTGATGGGGGTCGTCATGAAGGATTCAGGTGACCTGCAGGTCCCTGCCAGCACAGCGACTCTCTCCCTAGTCTGTTCCTCAGTTCTGGTAGGCCTCTAGTACTTTTTGTACCCTTGTTTTGTATCTCTGCCCCTCTGGATCTTCATCGTCATCATCGTTTTCACAATTTCGTGTTCTCATAACGAAGTGCTCGCTTTGCCATGTTTGTTGTCTACAAATCGTGTCGAACTATCTATTTTTGACCACATTGTCAGTCTCACTACAAAAATTCACTGATATCTATCTTCAAACTCGTTTTCTATCACCATCTTCACCTCAGGCTCAGCGTCATATCTCATCTGAGCTTCGAATCTGAATCTGAATCTTGTCCTCGCGCGGTATCATCGCCATTATGTTATCTTTCTTCTCATCACCTCTGCATTGAGAACTTTTGTTTCCTGTAGTGTGCTGCACTGTCTACACTCCATTTCGCTCTTCTTCACTCCGATCCTATCCTCTCCCCTGCACATTGTACGTTGTCCTTCCATTCCCTGTAGCTTCAGATCCCTACCACCCCCAATCCTTGACTACCCCTGCTTGCACAGTCTGAGAAGGGGTGATGAGATCAACCCACCAAACATTTGAAGAATTTTAAATTTCATACTCTTCACCAAAATGTACACTTTGCTGATAGAAATATATTCTAAAATTCCAAATAAAAGAATGATATTTCAAAAGGTAAGAAGATTTCAATGGTAGAACTCCGACCCTGCAGGGGCTCGCCCACCCCACCCCCATTTTTTGATAACGGAAAACACGACCCTTACCCCCCCTTGTCCTGTATTTGCTCCACCCCCACCCACAACTAGATGAACCTGAATCTACCTACCCCGTTCATTGTCCATTGGAATATGTGTAGTACCCCCTGCTACAGCTCTTGTTTTTCCTACCCCCTTCAAAAATAGAATTTTGTATTTCGACGCTACCCTGCTAAAAGCTATCGAGCCCCACCCCCACCTCCTCGACCCATCCAGTTATTTTACCCCTACCCCCTTAGTTCCCTCCCTCCCATTAAAACCACTCATCTACCCACCCATTTTCAGAGTCATTGATTCATACACCCCTGTTAATCCCATTCACTACCCCATCTTACCTCCTCCCCGGATTCAGACTTTATTCCAGTACCCCTCCTTTCTGGAGAACACTACCTCCTTCACTCCTGGTACACCTTTGTGTTTCCTTCTTCCAATGCTACCCGGTCTATTTCATCTACAAAGAGGGGTACTGAAAACCACGGGTCCTACTATCACCCTGAAACTAAATACATCAAAGTTTCAAACTTTGACTATTCGAAGTTTCAAAATTCTCCAACCTTGCGACAAACTCCTCGGGAGTAAGGGCGGCAGCGATTGCCATGTAAAGGGGTGTAAGAGAAGGGGAATATGCGAGCGCGGGCAACAGCGATAAAAACACAGTCAACACAGAAGGAGTGCGGGGGAGGGGGTGTGTGAAGAGAAAGGATATGTTCTGATTGCTATGTTTATGTTGTGGCACTTCCTTTGCAGAATACAACAAGAATCGGGACCAACTCCGGCCTGATGAGTCCAGGACGCCGCCTGCAACAGCTTCCGAGCCGGGAAATCACGCCGGAGATACCTGCCAAATTGAGCCGGAGCTAAGGCAGTGCACGTCACATCGAACGACGATGTCATGTCGAATGCCTGAGGAGGATTGCGCAAAAATGTGGGGTGATGGGTCGGGCTTACTAGAATTTATCATTTTACAGCAGCCGGACGGGAAGTTAATGATAAAAGGGAACGGAGCTGAAGGTGTCTATGTGGTACAAATACCAAGTCTGCCGCAGGAAGGACAGCCGATTGCCTCCAGGAAAGCTCGTACCCTGCCATAACATGGAGGGTCCCTCACTTGTTGAAGAGGCTCTTGAGGGTCTTCTTGGTTTCGAGCCTCTTCCTCTCCTTAGTCAGCATCGCGTCCATCAGCTCGAGACGCCTGGAGTGGCTGTCGCACTCGATCTGGACTGAGATAAGATGGCAAGAGGACAGGGAGGCTCAGATCACCAGCAGCTGCATATCCATCATGTCGCGCTCGGCCAGCGGTTGAAGATCGTCTTGCATCCTCGCCTGCCGTGGCTCATGTCACTCAAAGTTCATCTTGTCATCGACGGGAAGGTGGATAGCAGACAGGGAGAGGGAGGGAGGGGGAGAGAGAGGCAGACCTGGAGGGACCTCACTTCCTGCTGGAGATTAGCTGGAAGTTCTGTTGACAAGTAAGCTCTACACTGCCCTGTCATCGCATCGGGAGCTTGCATACCGTTGATGTCAATCGCGTTGGGGAGTCCTCCCATCCCCTTCTCCTTGATCAGGTACGCCAGCAGCTTCGCCTTGAGGATGCTCACAGTGTGGAAGAGGCTGGCAAGCAAGAAGGTGAACCTGAAACTCTTTCTGCATCTCCTGCTGACGAGCAAGGAGCCGCTGCTGTTGGAACACCTTCGCACTGATCACACAACATGGAGCTGCGCAGCAAACTCTCCCTCACCTGCCACATCTCCACCGCCGACCAAACCTCTTGTCCTTTGGCGATCTTGAACTTGTCCACGGACTCCTGAGAATCTGAATCACTGCACGCCCTCTACACGGGGCTTGCGATCACACCTTCGTAAACTTGACGTCTTCATTCATTTCATGCTGAAGCTGCACGAGATCGTTGTAGGTTAGCACCAGCTTTTTCTCCAGCTCGCTGCCAGCCGCAGTCAGCTCCACACGTTTGCGGGTGGTACGGCATGCTATCTGGCATGTCCGCCAACCTGGTGCTGCCCTCTGGCTCCTCCTTGTCCTCGATGTACTCAGCCTCGACCTTTGGGCTGTCAAAGCAATACACAACTCCCCTCTCCATCAGAGCTTCTCTCCACCTTGAGGTACGTCGACCTGTCCTCCCACACCTTGGGGTTCAGCACCTTTTTGATCCTGATCCTCCCGATGACCTGCGGCAACACAGGCGGCCGATCACAACCGAGCACGTGGGGCTTCACTCTGCAGACCTCGTGATCGCAGATGTACTTGACCGCATCGTTGGTCGCCGCGCTGACCTCTTTGAGATCCTTCAAGTAGAAAACGCTAGCTACGGCAGCGAATCTGCCATCCACGGGATCCATGGAGCAGACGGCGAACCTCCTCGACCCGCTGAAGAGGATGTCGTTGTACAGAGCACGATATCTTGGCTCGAAGATGTTGAGACGATGCTCCGAGTGCGGCTGCAAAGAACTTCAGGTCGCTCGGTCGTCGAGGGACGCCACTCACCGTGTACACGAAGCTTCCCAAGGGGAACAAGGGAAGGACAGTTGCGTTGGGCGAAGCCTCAATGTCACTGGCCTGGAGATCCATCATCGGTAACCACTCTGGCTCCATTTCGTCGATGTCCAGCGACATGGAAAGGCTGCAGCTTTCCATTCGGCCGGGCCTCAGCCGATTGGAAGGGCACAGGGAGGATGGACGAGGGATGAAAGAGGAGAAACCTGGATAGGAGCCGCACTTCTTTGACCGAAGTCCTAAAGTAGGAGTGGACCGATAGAGCCCATTCATGTTGTATGACTCAGCCAGGAGCAGGAAAAGGAATTGCGTGGCGATAAACAGTGAGTGATGGCTGGCCATTCTTGATAGGGTTGATCGATCTGTCTTCCTTGGACTCAGGTGTCTGGTTTAAAATGAGAATGACTGGGAAATTACTGTCCGGAAACCATCCTGCGAGAGAAAGAGGAAACATGTGTCAGGCAGGGAACGCGGATCACAGCAGTAACATGTGCCCACCATCGCAACCCCCACTATCTGCCCTGCAAATGCTTTGGCAGGTGTTGCACGAATGACTGAAAGAATATCGCCACTGTATGTATCGTCTCCTTTCTTTCTTTGTTTATCCTCCTCTCTCCCATTCTCCCTTTCTACTCTACTTCCATCCCTCCCCTCTCCCCAACTCCGCCATCTCTTATATCCAGCGATCCGGTGACGGTGTAAGGGAGGGGTAGTTTCAAATGGAGGGGTGGGGTGTGTCATGCAGATAGGTGGGGTAGTGAAGCAAAAAGACTGTTTGTGGGGTAGTAGGTAGATAGCATTCTGTTCTATCGCATCCAGTGGTGTTGAGAATGCTTGGGGGGTAGGGGTGATATCGGAGTAGGGTGGGGGTGTACCAGACGGGTCACTGTAGGCTTATGTATTATTTTTAAAATGTTTATGTAATGGAGAGATGGTAGAAATAACATATTAAAGTACTTTGAATCTGTGACTTTTGGTACAAATATTTGTACCTTTTTTGCAGCTCCCGTGTAGACTTATGTAGGATTCAGTACTGATTTGTACAGCTGCAACTTCAGATCACTAAAACTTACCTGGTAATACTAACAAAGAGTCTGTATTTGCATTTTGCTCGAGTTTTACAACATTGTTATATGGTACAAACAGACTTCAACTTAAAACAGACATTTTTAAACATCGCCTCCTCCATCTTGTGCGGTTCCACTCCCCGACTGGTGCCCCGAACTGGGTCCTAGCAAGACAAGCAATGAGAAGGGAAGGTAAGGAGAGGGAGAGGGAGAGGGAGAGGGAGAGGGAGAGGTAGAGGGAGAGGGAGAGGTAGAGGGAGAGGGAGAGGGAGAGGGAGAGGGAGAGGTAGAGGTAGAGGGAGAGGGAGAGGTAGAGGGAGAGGTAGAGGTAGAGGTAGAGGTAGAGGCAGAGTGACCGGCACAAAGGATAGGATTGACATGGCATGTCCTGACGTCCATCCATGAAGGTCAACGATGAGCAGGACCTTCTGCCTCGCAAGAGCCTCTGCTGCCTTCCTCCCACTCATCCCCCTCAAGTCCAGGACACTTCCAGCCTGCGACCTCCTCCTTCAGCCAGCGGGAGGATCAGGAGGGACTTACTGGGTTGGTCAGGCAGGGATGACGAGGATGGAGAGGACGGGAGGAACCGCCTCCTGAGCTCCAGGCACAGAAGAAGATGAGGCGACGAGCGTCGTGGCTCGCCCAGACAGCCTCGAGATCGGAGGAGACAGCATGATCTTGGAGGTCGGAGGTGACGTACGCAACCCCCACCCTCCTGTCCATGGGCGCGAGACGGTCGCTGACGTCGGGGAGGAGGGGGATGTTGCCTCCGGTCCTAGAGGCCTTGAGGAGATGGAGAGCTGCGAGGCTGCGGGCACAGAAGTTGTGCTGGTTGGGAGAGAGCGGAAAGATGAGTGACTGAACGGAGAAGAGAGCCGCCTGACAGCAAGATTCAATCAAGTGAGGAGAACGACGATGATGATGATAATGATGACGATGTTGATGATGTTGATGATGATGATGTTGTTGTTGTTGTTGATGATGATGATGATGATGATGATGGTGGTGGTGGTGGTGGTGGTGGTGGTGGTGATGATGATGATGAGGAGGAGGAGGAGGAGG